GGAAAACATTTCAGTAAAATTGAAGAATAAATCACTTCCATAATACTTCCAAAGAAACAGGGTGGGTACAATCACCCAGAGTCAACATCAATAGCACTTAGACCGATATAGTGCTTTATAGCACTCTTAAGTGTTTAGTCAGCATATCAAACTTTGACCCTACAGATCTTTTTGTTCCTCCTTGTGCTCTATTTTTTTTTCTTCATAGCATTTTTCCCACAAGTGTTTTTTTCTCCCAGATCAGCCAAGTTTGATCCATTGGTTGTGACAGGAATTGACTGAACAGCTTGTCACCTGAACCTGATATCATGACCTGAAAGAGACTGACTCAAAGTCACCTGGTTGGCTTTTATACTTAAGGCAAGACTAAAACTCAGATTTTCTAATTTCTATCCTGGCACCTTAACCACTCAACTAGTTCTTGTTTACCCTCTTTATGCTTGGTTAAAACAAACTAAACAATCTTGGTAAAAGCATGCTTCCATTTCACGGTACTATTTATATTCCCATTATCATCCATATTTATTTGTTCAATGTTCAGCCTGCTTTTAAAACAGGAGCTCAAGACAGGAGTATAGTGTGTTTCCTCCTGTATTCTCCAGAGCAGCCCTTGTGGGGGAAGCTGGGCTAAAAAATGAAAAATTACTGAGCTAAGAGTTGACCTTTAAACTTCTGTGATTGAGGAGGGACTAGAACCTGGGTCTCACCAGTGCAAGCCACTACGTTAACTGCTAGACCACATTGGCTGTCAGCAATCCCTAAAATTTGCTTCTTAAAATACAACAGCTTGTGCCCATCCTACTAGAAGCTATCTGTGAAGCTTCAAAGCCCGCTTTTTTCTGTTGCAACTATTATCGCTTCTCAGCTTGCCTACGAACTATGGGGGAGGGAAGGGGGAAGATAGAACTTAGGTTGCAGATATCAAGACGCCAAGCATGGGAACCAAAGACGTTTTGGCAGGTGTTTATCAGAGACAGACTTTCTCACAATACCAGGAGACTCAATTGGACAATGTGACCTGTTCTAATTGGAGAGGGGCAGAACCTGAACTATGTGGGTTTGCGCGGGAAATAGATAAATCTGGTTTTGCCCTCATCAGTGCCGAAATGATGTACTCAATATTAAGTTCTGCATTAAGAGATTGGATCATCTCGGTCGTGCTTAGTTTGGTTGGGTTTGTCATTCGGAACCTTGATAATATCATGTCCTGGAGATCTAAACACCATATAAGGTTTTATGTAAACTTAACAGATACAAGTCTCTAAATGTATGGTCAAGTTTTACATATGGTACCCTCTACAAATGATTTGAGGTTCAGTGCCCGTAATCTCCCAACTGGCGTTTCATATGGCCAAGAACTGTAGGTATGTAAGTCTGATATACATAAGGACAGCAGGTTGGGAAGTAGTTAGAATAAAAACTGCTGTGATATAATTAAGATTCCTTGTTTTGGATGTACTCTATTGTGAAGGAAATGTGATTTCTTTCAAGCATTCCTATTTGTAATCCTCATCCCTTTAGCTGCTGAACTTCATAGAATTAAAGAAAAACAAATCAGAACAATTGCCCTGGACGTTTCTCTACAGCCCACCATCAATGAAGAGAAGCAGAAGTAAATTTAGGAACACAAATTGCAAAGTTGCCAAAACTGATTTCTCCTTTCCACCACTCCTGATGGGCCTGTAAAATGACAAAAGTTCTAAAATGTAGGAGAAAATTTAAGGACGAAATATTCAGGGGACTTTAATGTTGAGTCCCCCTATCAACATTTTCATTATGCCCCATGTGACTTGTCACAGCCGTAAGATGTATATGACAGAGAATGGAATCTGATGGACTGCATATCTCTGGCATTCAAGGCATTAAAATTCTTAGGAAGAAGAAATCTCATTCCAACCATCTTAAGGAAAACAACCATCTTCACTGGGTTCAATTTTTGCTGTATGTTGTTCTGCATTGCCTTCTTAGGCTGGTGAAAAGCTCGGTTGCAATGAAGCCACTTTCCAACACAACAGACAAGTTCCCCCATTGATGTGCAACCCATTTCATTCAGTATTTAATTCTAATACATGTTCAAAACTTTCAGGGTAGCAATTGAGGCAGTCGAAGCATATTTCATTATAAAAGATCATTTATTTCCAAGAGAACAGTCTCCGCTACACATGATGTTGCGTTTAACATGCCCACTCCCTCTAAAACACCCAAGTCTTCCAGATGTCCCAGAAAATATAATGCATGCATCTGTTTCCAAAACCAGGACAACAATTCAAGAAGACTGCCTCACAAGCCTTTTCCTATTGAAATGAATAAAAATATTTCTTCTCTCCATATTACGGAGAGATGCAGCGTTAAAATCCACAGGAGGATTTTAAGGCAAGAAATCTACTCTGTAATGCCTTCCAGGATCATTTGTGTTTAGAGAACCAAGTGCTTCTTTCATATTTTAAGCAAACAAGGAGTGTGTGTTTTGGAGGATTGTGTTGGAATAATACTTATTACCTATGTAAACAGCAAGACTTCCTTTTCACAACTGCATCGGTGTTTTGGGATTACAACTTCAAGTAATCAACGGGCATACTGAACTTTCCACATCATCTGAATCATATCTCTGAACATGCGCTGGGGGGCGTCAAGGCCCCAGATGAAATCCAGATGTTCCCAGTCTGGGATCTCCTTGTGGTATATCAAATTTGGGATCATAGTCATTAAGATGGCAATGTCCTTTGGGTCTGCCAGCCAGTCATGGCCACCCGTCCACATAGCTGTTGGAACAAGCATTCCTTTCATTTTGTAGGGAGGTGGTGTTGGCTAAGAAAGAAGGAAAAATAACAGTTTAAAAAAATCCAAAGAGATTCTCATCCTGATGTCACCACTGAGCAAACTGGCTGAGGTTGTAGTTTGGTAACAACTGGAAAGCCGAGGATCTCCAGATCTGTTCAACATGTCATCTGAGGCAAATTGCCATATTTTTCCATATATAAGACACTATTTTTTCTTTAAAATATTCACTTGAAAATGGAGGGGCATCTTATACACAGGGGGCCGTGAGAAGGCGTGGCCAATCCCCATCCTCCAGCTCTGCCACGCGAACCTCTACCTTATATGCAGCTCTATTATTCCTCTCTATTGTAGTTGTTTCCTGTATCACATTGCCACTCTAGGTTTCAACTCTACTGTTTCTGTGATGCATTTCCTGTTCTTGTTGTATTACTCTCTCTCTCTCTAATAAGATGGGTTCTGCATAGTGATGGCTTGTAGTGTGCTTGCTTACCCTACATGAAACATGGGGGTGTCCTATACACGGGGGCATCTTATAGATGGAAAAATGTGGGTATTTAACAAAGGCCTCCCATTTTTCCAGGAATTTATCAATATTTGTCATATTTCCCCAATAACTAAAGTTTTGGGGGCTGATTTCCAAGTTATGTAAAGCATGAAAACAGTAAAAATACCAAAACAATAAACCACACATATGTACAATAAAAAACACAACAAAAACAATTCAATTTCTTAATATAAAGTACACTAAAAATCTGTACCTAAGTTCCAGTACCCTAGCATAATTAGGGCAAATAGAATAAAAAGAATTCTAAGTAGAGAATTCCTGGGCTGAGAGAAAGTTTTAGTTTAGATGCCAGGATTTATTCAGATAAAATGGAAGGGGTTACAGGAATTTCAGCAACTGAACGGTTTCTAACACTACCCAAAAAAATGAGGATGGCCCTACTCTTTTCATGTAGATAATAGATCAGCTTCCAACCCACTCTGTCTCCCTCCCTCTAAAATGAGCTACTCATTTTAGCCACTTCATTTGAAACAGGTTTCCACAGATGATTAAGTCCCAAAGTAGATACAAATGGGGATATTTTTTTTGCCCTGAAAGCACAATTGTAAATGCAGGAGGAGGGGGACACCTCATCACTGCCTTAGGATAAGGCCATTCATAAGAAAATTTATATATTTGCAAAAAAAGAAGAAAACAAAACAAAAGAAGCAGCATCATTATCCTTGATTTGTAACAGTTTGTTTAGTGTCCATTCAAAGTTACGACATGATTGAAAAAAGGGACTATGGCAGTTTTTCAGTTTTTTACAACCATTGCAGCAGCATCATGGTCACATGATCAAAATTCAGACACTTTGCAACTGACTCACATTTATGACATTTCCAGTGTCCTGGGTTCACATGATCACCTTTTCTGACCTTCTGACAAGCAAAGTCAATAGGGAAGCCAGATTTATCACAACCCTGTTACTAATTTAACCAACTACTGTGATTCATTTAAGAACAGTAGCAAGAAATGTCAAAATGGAACAAAATTCATTTAACAACTATCTCATTTATAACATCAGAAATTCTGGGCTCAATTGTGGTCAAGGACTACCTGTATACTGGTTATCTGATAATACTGCGGTCGAATGTGTCTGGAAATTCTTACCTGTTTATAATGAGCCATATTTTCTTTTCTGCTTCCCCAGTCAAATGCTCTCATTTCCCCAGACCGTACAACCTTAAAAATAAAGTTACTTTTAAAGGTGTGGATGCCTTCAAGAATATTCATTCATTCATTCATTCAATTTATTGCCTTTCTGCTCTGAGGCATTTATTATATGTAGGAAGAGAAAACAATCAGGTGTAGCAGTTTTCCTGTAACACTTGTTAGCCGCCCATTCCTTGAAAAATACACAGCTGTGTATATTTTCCAAAGTCTTCCCATCCTGGCAGGCATCCAGGATTTAGTGCAAATAATGGCACTGAATAACCTTAACATCCACTTCCTCCTGAGGGAATTTCCTTAGAAGTAAGACCTCCAAAGTTCAATTGGTCTTACTCCTAGAAGAGCACCTGCAGAATTGCCACACAGGTAAAAGCTAACATTTGAATCAGGACCCATAAATGCAAGCCAATAACCTAAACATCATTGCTGCAAGCATTAATCAATCAGCCTGGAGATTTCATCTCTACCTGAATCCAATGAAGCATATTCTGGACAGATGTTCCAGCTGGGCAGTGTGTGGAATATACATCTATTCGGCTCTGAAAACAACAGTGAAATGGTTTGTTAAATCTATAACCAAGCATATAAATTACTTCTTTTTAAAATTTCATCTAAAAGGGAAAAATGCACCAGAACTTAACATTTGCCCATCATGTCCAAATGCAATTGACCCTGGCTAATCTTGAAAAAGCTAAGAAGGGCTCATCTGTCTAGTTTTTGGATGAACTAGACTAATTTATGCAACTGAAAAAAGCCAGTTCATTTGCATAGATTTGGATAAATGGCCGAAATTATGGACTAGAAATTATAAATTAACAATGTCAACAGACTATAAAGAGAATTTGTACAAGATGTTTTACAGGTGGCACCTACCCCACCAAGACTAGCAAAGATGTTTAAAGATAAATCAGTGAAATTTTGGAAATGTCATCAGATACCTGGATCATACTACCACATGTGGACATGCACATAAGCTAAAAGACTTTAGACTAAAATACACACATGGTTGGAAAGAATGATACATAGACTTAAAACCTGAGATATTTTTATTGGGGATTTTGCCTGAAAGCTATAGTAAAGAAATAACATACTTGAATATTAATGTATTAACTGCAGCTAGAATTGTATTTGTTCAAAATTGAAAAAATGAGAAAATTCCAATGGAGGAGGAGGAGATTAAAAAAATAATGGAATGTGCAGAAATGAGTAATTAACATTAGCAATTAGAGAACAAGAAGAAAATGAGTACTATAAGATTTGGGTGTTATTCTATGGATGGCTAGAAAATAGAGTAAGAAATTAAAGGATATTGTATTAATAATGATATACTAAAATTGATTATTTGTGAATAAGCTTTAATATAAATATAATTTAGTACGATTTGGGATTTGCCTTTAAGGATAGTTTGAAATTGAAATAAAAACTTAATGACAATGTAATAATGATATAAGAGGATATATAATGTTGACCATAATATGAATGTAAACTCAATAAGAAATGTATACCAATATTATTATATGCCCAAGATATATGCACCCAACTGACACACAGTACAATTGAAAGATGGTTTTATTTGTTGTTTTTGTTATAAAAATTTTTAAAAAAACCAGTTCAACTTTACTTGAGGGAGTCTTTAGAATTTGAGAGACTCCATCGTGCCATTCTTAAGCTGCCCATGATTCTCAGTCTTTCATTACCGAATAGCCGAGATATAAGCTTAGAGAAGAGTATTTGCCTGTCTGATAACATGCACAGTATTATTTTAAAAAACATTTACAGATTAATTCATTTCATTTCAAAACAGAGTTTACGCATTTAATTCACGCTCTTACCATGTTTAGGTTTTTCTCATTAAATCCACACATGAGAAAGAAAAAGTTGCCACAAAGATCATCAAGTAAAACACGGTCGCACACGTGGGTAGCAAGCCATTTTAAAAGCGCATTCTGGGGTAAAAACTGCTTGGTTCCAAATATTTCCTGCCAAAATAAGAATAGTATAATACAGGTCACTTTGCTGGAAAATAAGGATGCTTCTCAATATGATTAACATAGAATCCTAGGGCTGGGCAATAAGTAATGGGTGGAAGATCATTAAAGAGAGAACCATCCTAG